CTGAATACATGAGTGGATAAGTGTCACATATTCCCCCTTGAATATCCAATCTTTCATCTGAGCTTCTGACATTTATCAATCAGCAGTGAAGTTAAGATAAGCAGTGAAGTTGGGGCACCTGGGTGGCTCAGTCGTTGGGCATCTGCCTTTGGCTCAGGTCATGATCCCAGGGTTCTGGGATGGAGCCCCACATTGGGCTCCCTGCTCCACGGGAAGCCTGCCTCTCCCTCTCCAACTCCCCCTGCTTGTGTTCCCTCTCGCTGTGTCTCTCTCTGTCAAATAAATAAATAAAATCTAAAAAAAAAAAAAAGATAAGCAGTGAAGTTAAGATAAGCAGGTAAGGGGCACGTGGGTGGCTCAGTTGGTTAAGCAACTGCCTTCAGCTCAGGTCATGATCCTGCAGTCCCAGGATGGAGTCAGGGAGTCTGCTGCTCCCTCTGACCCTCCCCCTTCTTGTGTGCTCTCTCTCTCTCATTCTCTCTCTCTCAAATAAATAAATAAAATCTTTAAAAGATAAGTAGGGAAGTTACATGTGTGGAGGACAGCTATGCTCCCTAAGTTGAGTATGAACCCATTTTAGCTAGGGGAAAAGATAATGACCTTTTATGAATGCTGAGAAGCTTATCCAGGACTAATAGCTGAAAAGATGATCGTGCTACCTCCATCATGAATACCTACTATCAGAGCTCTTAACAATTCTTAGAAATGATACTGAACCTGCTCCAAAAGAATACAACTGAAAATGTTGATCAAAGACCAAACCCAAAGTTCTGCCACACAGAGCATGACTAAAAGAGCTTTAGCTAAAAATAGAATCACTGTAGCCAAGGTATGAACAGTCTCATGAGGCATACTCAAGCAAATAGTAACAAGGAAAGTAAGTCACTCAATTTGAAGTTCTTTAAAGGATCATATTGCCAATCATACTAACATTTTACTTATCTACAGTTCACCCATAAGTTCAAACATAGGAAGAGACATTTTTTCTGATTATTCATCAACTAAAATGTTAAGTTCAGAGTGCTAAAGCTCACTTATTTAACCGAGGCCTCTGGTTGCTTTTTTTTTTTAACACATGATAAATTTACTTATCTGCTTTCCTAGTTCACAGCCAATTATAATAAGCACATGAGGATAGGAAGCACAAAGGAAAGAGCTGCTAGAAACAGGCAGAGTTGTAAGAAACACAGATAACTTGGTGGGAAGCAATAGTAGAATGCAAAAGCAGACAAAAAACTTTAAACACACAATCTTCTGGGGCCATGCTGCAAAAAGCTCTATGCATCTCAAGAGTCCTCAAGGACAGCCACTGCATAGGACATATTCACAGAACCAGATTCAGAGTGAAGTCCTCAATAAAGATTCTATTATTCTTTACAGAGTCTTTTTAAAGAAGGTAGGGAAATATGAAATCCATTTTTAAAAGTGACTCACCCAAAATGTTTTAAATATTAGTATTTATTGTGGCTTAAATTTAAACACTTAAATTATAAGCTTCAGTTATACAGAAGATTGCACTCCACAACTAATGCTGAGTAGAGCACTATAGTTGATGGGAGAATTTTAAGCTTAACTCAAACATTAATAACATGGAAAATAGAAGCACCTCATTTCCTGACTACACTGGAAAAATAAGGCCCTATTGTTACTTGAAATAACATTCAAATTATGAAATAATATCTTCACCTACAGAAAACCAAGAATAACTATGTACATCTTATTAGAAGTACTTTAATTTTGAAAACCATCATTTGTCTCCACTCATCACACTTTCTCCTTAAGTGGCTCTTGTTAATCCTTTCTATCCACAAGACAGGAAAATTATGACTGTGTGAGGAGTTTCTCTTAAGGAATTGATTGTAAAAGTTAAACAAATGTTATATTAAAATCTGATTATGCATATATAAACTATATACTTTAATAACTTTCTCATAAAGCAATGTTGACCTACAGAAAGAGACATTCCATTTTAATTCTTTGTCAACAGAAGTAAAATCAAAAGAATATGTAAGTTTTTCAATAAAATGTGAAGCTTAAAAATGACAGAAGAATGACTAATAATGCACCTGGTTTTCTATAGATCAAAAATAGAGATTTAAAAAAGCCTGCAGGACTTTAAAAAATTAATTTTTCAAAATTCTAAATGGTAAAGAATATGCAGGGAAAATACTAGTTGGTACAAAGAGCCAAAATCAGTCTATGAATATTTTGGAGTTGAATGTGGAATATTTAGAGGCCTCAATGACTTTCTCTCCTCACTACTTTCTTTCCACCACAATCTGTAAAAAGCATGGTAAAATAGTACTTACTAAGTACCATACAAGTATTTTCAAGGCTACAATACATAAATGTTCAATAGAACAAAAACAAGAGACAAAAGAATTACATACATAATCACAATGAATCGAAATTAAATTCAATTCAGGTCCTGACTCTCTTACCTAACCCAGCAACCCACTTCAAAAGTTCCACACCATAACAATACTGTTCTTGTACAAGACTTTAAACCTAAAGAATTGCTTAGTTACATAATAAGGCTTTAAAACTAAGCTGAAAATATGCCTAAGTTGTATAAGGGATAAAGAAAAGCATTATCACATAAATATTATAGATACAGTAGAATGATATGAGGTGGTTGGGGGGTATTTTGTTTTGATTTGCTTTGGTAAATTGTTCACAAGTTTTCTAGAGCATCAGTAGGGAAACAAAATGGGAGGCAAAGTTCAAAATGTTTTTCTTTAGAGAGAAAAAGGCACATACCTCATCTAGCTACCATTAAACATATGTCTACCATTACCCTGCTCATATTTGGGGAAATTCAAAAGAAAATATCAACACATTTTATTTGAAGTCTATTATCAGTTTTAGAGCTGTTACTGAAGGTTACTAATGATGTAGGCTAAGATGATTTTACAGATGTGAAAACTAGATAATGAGATGTTTGCATGGCTTGTTAAAGGACATAGAACTCGTTAACGACAAAGTAAACTTAGAACTCAAACTCTAAACCAACTTCACAACTTAAATATCAAATCACCTCTAACTTGATATATAAAAATTAAAAAATGAATTCATTAAGACACAAGGGTAAGATACCACAATTTGGTAACTCTGAAAGGCAAAGAAACATAAATGCATAAATATTGATTTGTTCAGGCAGAGCTACTTAAAACATACAAATGGCCTAGAATGACTTTTTTTCCAAAAAGTAAAAGCCTTTTAGACAAAGCCTATCAAACAGATCCCATTACTACTGAGATGGATGATAATTTATATAAATCACCAACTCTTCGTACATGAAGAACAGCCTTAGTAGTAAATCCACATAAATACATCTAAGCCAGAAATTGAAATTTATTTTAGCTATAACACTAAATTTATGTGTAAATTATACCTGAGGTCAGCACTTATATTCATTTTGCAATAGAAAACAATAATTATTCAAATAAAATTAATGAAAATACAGCAAGCCCGGACAGCTGTCCACACAAATCAGTGTGATATGACTGAAATTTCTTAAACATAACTTAAAATGTTATTTAAATAAGATTGAGATACAAGTCCTTTCTTCTGGCCTGCCTCAGATGAGGGAGCAGATGAACATCAAGTAACCTAAAATCAGCCAGGACAAAAATGGAGAAGCCAGAGTACCCACCCTGAAATTATTCATTCAATAAACATTTGTTGAGCATCGGATGCTACAGTGTGAAGAATTATTTTAAAAAAATTAAAAAGACAATTGAGCAAAAAACTGTCCTGTGAAGTTTAACTGTGAGGGAGCTTTTATGAAATATACCCCAAGAATGCTGGATCCTGCTTGAGATGATCATCTTTTCAAAAAATAAAATAATAATCTTTAATATATGTAAAATAAATCAGGTTTGATTATTGTTCTCTTTTCCTAACCTAAAAAAGGAAGATTTGCCTGGATTTAAAAAAATTTAATACCTGCCTTCCTCAAAAGGTTGCATCCTAGACAGCACAAGTGGTAAATTAAACCAAGTCCACATTATTTTACTGTTTACAGCTCAAAGTGCCATACAGTTAGTGAGGCAGGTCTTCCTGCTATTTAGGCAAACATCTGTAATGGTCCAGGTTAAAAAAAAAAACAAAAAGTCACTCAAAGTTATTGAATATAACTCCTAGCATAAATATCTGTGTGCTGCGACAGACGCTTGACACATTTTTACACAAGAAGAAATACACAGAAATGGAAAAGGAGGAAAAGGTGTCATTTCTTAATTCTTAGAGGATAACCGATGGTTGCTGCTGTTTGGTGAAAAATCAGTTATTTCTGAATACAGATACTAATTATTCCCTTTATGTTTCTGTATTTCCTAGAGTAAAGGAATACTACATTTATAATTAGAAACTCTTTAAGGAAAGGCAGACTTGGAATAAAACATTGACACGAAGACTAGGTATCCTCCACAAGTCCCACTCTTTATCACAACTGCAGAAACTGCACTAGCTCTGCAATTTAAAAGTGGAGAGAAAACACACACACACACACACACACACACACACACACACACACACACGGCAGGCTTGTAGTAGATACTCAATACCGGTGGAATGAAATAACTGAATATATGCGTAAACAAGCCAAAACAAAAACAAAATGCATTCTGATTTTGAAACAACACAGTAACGACTTTACCAAAAGCTGGCTGACAGCTTAATGAGCCCTAAATGAAAGAGCTTTTCCTTTCTGTCCTCCTCTCTTACTCTGACACTAGAAGACACATTCAAAACAAATCCTCCCCCAGCCCCGCCCCAAGCCTTATCCTCGCTCGTCTCTGAAACTGTCGGAAAGTCCGGGGCCTCGCTGTGCCGAGACCCCGGCCCCTCTGAGGGCGCTCGCGCCCGCGGACACGCCTGGTGCGGCAAAGCCTGGGGCCACGGGCCCCCCAGTCTGCGGGACCCCCGGGGGCTCGCGCCCTCAGCTCTCAGCCCTCGGCGCCGGCGGCCCCCTCCCCTCGCTGCGAGCCGAGCCGTACCTGCACACCGTGATGAGGTTCCTCCTCTCCACCGCAGCATTGCGGGCGCTCAGGCTCTTCTTGCCGCCGCCGCCGCCGCCGCCCCCGCTGCGGCTCCCGCTCAGGCCCCCCAGGCTCCGGGAGGCCATGGCGGGCTGACCCCCTCACCCCTTTTGTCTGCTGCGACCCCTCCCGCCCCCCACACCTGCTCCCCAATGCGCTCGCTCGTTTTGCGACCGTGGGGGCACTGGAGGGTCGTGGGGCAAAAGCGGGGACCGACGGAGGGTGTGGAAGACCGCGGGGGAACTCGTACCGAGGCACTGACGGCTCGCGCTCCGTACCCAAGCTCCACACACACACAGACACACTCACACACACTCACGCGCACACAGGCACGCACCTCCCCCGCCCTCGCGCGCGCCGCCGACCGCAGGGCGGCGCGTGCGGGGCGGTGTCGGGCGCTCCCCTGCTTCCCGAGGGATCTCGGCTGCCAGCACGCGCGCGTGCCCGCCGGCCCGCACGCCCTACCACCTGCCTTCGGCCGCCACTCGCGCCCCAGGCGCGACTGCTGCGGTGAGGCCACGGGCCTCGCGCGCGCAGCCCCGCCCTCCCTGCACCTATCAGGCCAACGCAGTCCACCTGGAGCCAATCGCGGCACGCGAGGGGCGGGGCCGACCGCGTGGCTCCTTAAAGTAACGTGCTCGAGCACCGCCCCGGCGCGTGGGCAGCTGTCAAGACGCCGGGCTCGCGCTCGCAGCCCGCGTGCCGCAGGCAGCCGGCACGCAGCAGAGCAGCGCTGCAGTTTGCACGGGGATTGTGGGATGCGTGGCGCGGGAGAGCTCCGGGAGGAATGCTGATCGTTGCCGGGAGCCCAGCTTTAACTGCTGGGATCTCTAGCTTTAGCGGCTGATCTTTTTCACGCCGGAAGCCTATTCTCAGGTCCACAGCCCCGAAGATGCAGCAGCCCGGCGCTCGCAACAGACCCAGGACTTGACTCCCAGGAAAGGAGCAGGATTCCTTTTGTCCTAACTCCCTCTGGTCTGGAAAACAGCCACAAATAGCCGGGGGAGGGAAACTGCCTGTAGAATATCGTCCTTGGGCGTCTGATGGCGGGATTTCTTGACCGTCCACGCCACGTCGCTCCTCCCTTAGCCCTAGCACGTCCTGCAGCCAGGACTGACCGCTCACGTGAGAACGAGCGCGGTGTGTGCACCCTTCTCCGGGCCTAGGCAGAGACCCCGGAACTGGGTGAGGAACAGTGAGTCTAGGGGCAGTTTGGGCCTTGGCTTCTCTGGGCTGCTCCGGGAGAAGAGTGCCGCCCTGGTCGCGTGTGCTTGGAATCTAGCGCCCACTTTGCAACGCTTCTTCACCCTCCGGCCTTACCAGCAGGAAGGTCCTACCTAGCCTCTGCCCATTCTCCGGCACTCACCTAAGTGGCCGTCTATCTCCCTTTGCTCAGATTTCAGAGTGAAATCCCTAACTACTGTCCCCGTGGAGCCTAGCATGGTGCCCCGCATACAACAGGTTCTCAAATGTTCGTTAACTGTAACTTGAAGTTACATTTAGCATTATTTTACTGTAATTTTACAATTTTGGTGGTTCCAAAATCCTTATTACTTCCACCTCTGGTTTTTGAGGTTTCTGTCAAAGGTATCTATACTAAACATAGTTTAGTATAGATATCCTTGTATTTTGTGTATATTATACAAAGGAGGGACTGGCTCTATGTTGAACGCTTAAAAAACAGTTTTGTATAATAAAGCCGTAGATGACTAATATTTGAGTTTGTAAAAAATTTTAAATCTCTTAAAGTCATTATGGCAAAAACAGCCCCTTTCAGCTAAGTCTAATCATAGTAGAATAAAAATCTGTGTGGGGAAAAAAATATTTGTCTCAGCTAACTTACTGCAATAAACATTAACACATTAAAATTAGAGAAAATAACTTAGACTTTAAACTTTCTCTTTCACAATAATAAAAGCAGGAGGGTTTTCTATGTCGGTGCACTTTTTCCCAAACATCTCTTGTCTTCTCCATGGTAACATGGACGCTTTTAAGGAGAGTTGCTGTTCTAGAAGCTCCAATTAACTTGTTTCCTCTTGCTACACCAACAGTTTGAATTCAGAAGTAGCCATCAGGAAACATATGCACTAACTACAGAGGCAGTCTCTGTAAAGTATTTGCACTGGCAATGACAAATATGACTCAAATTGAAATTTTTGTGGTTTAAACACAGTTGAAAACTGCATAAGGAAAAGAGTGGAACGCCATCAATTACCAAGAAAATTCCTAGACATCTATGCTGGTTTGTCCCGTGGTAGAGAGAAGACACACATTCTTCACACTTAACAAGAAGACAAAACCGAGGGTGCCTGGGTGGCTTAGTAGGTTAAGGGTCTACCTTTGGCTCCCAGCATCCCAGGGTCTTGAGATCGAGTCCTGCGTTGAGTTTGCTTCTCCCTCTGCCTCCCTCTCTCTGTCTCTCATGAATAAATAAAATCTTTTAAAAAAAGAGACAAAACCAAGTGGTCATGTCAAATACAGAAGAGTGAGGTGTCATTATTCTCAAAATTGGCTTTCTAGTCTCAAGTACATGTTTTTAAGATTTTGGGTTTTTTTATTTATTTTTTAAAGATTTTTATTTATTTTAGAGAGAGAGACACAGCGAGAGCAGGAACACAACCAGGGGCAGAGGGAGAGGGAGAAGCAGGCTTCCCACGAGCAGGGAGCCTGATGGGGGCTTGATCCCAGGATCCTGGGATCATGACCTCAGCTGAAGGCAGATGCTTAACGACTAAGTCACCCAGGCGCCCCAAGATTTTGTTTATTTAGTTGAGAGAGAGAATGTGAGAGAGGGAGAGCACAAGCAGGGGGAGGGGCAGACGGAGAGGGAGAAGCAGACTGCCCGCCCAGCAGGGAGCCGGACTGGGCCTTGATCCCAGAACCCTGGGATCATGACCTGAGCCAAAGGCTGACGCTTAACCGACTGAGCCACCCAGGCACACTCAGGTATATTTTCACGTTGTTTGTGCTATAAATTTATATTTATGACTGAAGACTTAGTAAAATTTCATCTTAGATGATTAGGTAATAGAGTTTTTTCAAATGCTACTTTTCAGGGGATTCAGTTGACAGGTATTTGCTGAAAAAGATTTCTCATTAAGAAAGGCCATTTTTTTGTATGTACAGCGAGTCATTAAGCTGCCACATGGGGGCCTTATTTGATAATGCTTTTTCTTAATTGTCCTGAGCAATATGTCCAGGGTCTCCTTTCTCTAGAAGAAAAATCTGGAAATTATATTCACTAAAAAGTACAATACTATTATAAAGCCACATGAGTTTTCACACTACTTTTTCCACTTTTCCGGCACCAGTGGCAGTTCTTTATTTCATTTATCTGAGCATTTGAACAAAGGTTATTTAGAGATGTAAAAAGACTCCCAGGAAAAATAATGAAAATAGTAGATGCCTAATTTAAATTATAAGAATGCTGTAGAACTGAATGGGCAGGCCATATTTATTCACCATTTTCCCAACCTCCTCTTTCTCCCCATCAAGAAAGACGGTATTACAACGGTAACATATCCTCACATCTAAATATCCTCGGTTCTAAAATGCTATAAGCAAGAGAGATTACCAAACCATTGTCTATTTTAATCTCAAAGAAGTAGCCTTTCTAAGCATGCCCATACACAGGAGCCAGACAGAAAAGATGAATAAATTTGAAGACACAATATTTTTTTTTAAAGATTTTATTTATTCATTTGTGAGAGAGACAGAGAGAGAACAAGCAGGGGGAGAGGCAGAAGCAGACTCCCTGCTGAGCAAGGAGCCCGATGCGGGGCTCGATCCCAGGACCCTGGGATCGTGACCTGAGCCAAAGGCAGACGCTTAACCATCTGAGCCACCCAGGCGCCCGAAGACACAATATTTTTTAAAAGTCCACGAAGTGAGAGAAGGGGATGTGAAGACAAAAGCAGAGGTTAGAGAGAAGACACTCACACTGATGGATTTGAAGATGGAGGGAGGGGGCCAGGAGCCAAGGAGCACAGGGGGCCTATGGAAGTTGGAAAAACAGCCCTCACAAACAAATACCCTGGGTAATAGTGGAGACCCCTGGGCCCAATCAGGCATGGAAGCAAGAACTCAGAGAAAACTTGATGGGGTAGCCCGGGAACATGGACTCCACGCTGCTAGTGCACTCCTGTGGAGGCCTCAGCCGTGCAGGGAGGATCAGCCACGTTACATTCTCATAAAGCCTTGATATGGATGGAGGAACAGTTCAAAGCCGGAGTGTGTTGAGGGGATGAGGGGTCATCCCAAAGTGGAAGATAGTGAGTGAAAAACTTAAAGTCCTTTGGCAGAACTGGCCAACAGCAGACCAGGTCTTTCTTCTCCTCAGAAAACATCAGAGGAAGGGCCCAACAGGAAGGTGTGGCTACCATAATTGTCTCACGGTTTCCACATCCTGCTGAGGACCTCCTGCAAGAAAGCAGAGACTACTTTCCACATGGCTTGTGAGTCTCGGTCTCATTCTTCTGTGGTCTCTGAACTGTTTTCATTTGCCTCACGAGCCAGCCCTCAAAAATATTTATTGGATGACTACAATAAAAGAGCAAACGAACAAGTGAATAAATAGACAAGTTAAAAAGAACCAAATGTTGTCACAAAATATCACCATTTTTCTTAGTGTGGAGGTGCAGAGCTGGCAATGAGATGGAGATTGGAAAGGATCCCTTTTTTCTTTTAATCTCCCTAGGAAGGACCTGAATAAACATATCCCCCGCTACAGTTAGACATACTGGCAGGTGTCCTGGGGCCCAGAATAGAAAGGTGCGGCAGAGGGCTGTTGCGGCCGCTGTAATTGGCATACAGGCAAGCGCTCCCAGCGCCTCTCCCAGCACATTAGAAATCTGAGGGGGTGGGTGCTAATAACCCATAATCAGTGTTGCATTTGCCAACAGCCAAACGAAAAATGAACCTTTAATTGAGCGAGATTTGGCATCAATCAGTGACGTGACTTTAGTCAGGCAAAACTGACAGATTACTGAGTCAGACATCCAACTGTGAGAATTGCTCTCTACTGGGGTGAAGAATGCAAAAATGTGAATAAATGGCATTTCTTACCCACCCAGGACCATAACTCACTGTGAAAAAAAATAGTCTGTATTTGTTTTTAAATCTTCTTGAGTTCCTTTTTTAAGTTACGTTTTAGCAGAGCTTAATTTATTTTGTAACTCCAAACCCCTTCACAGAAGTGTTGTGTATTATTATATGCTGATGCTCATTTCTTTCTTTTTTTTTTTTTAAGATTTATTTATTTGTTTGACAGAGAGAGACACGGCAAGAGCAGGAACACGAGCAGGGGGAGTGGGAGAGGGAGAAGCAGGCTTCCTGCTGAGCAGGGAGCCTGATGCGGGGCTCGATTCCAGGACTCCGGGATCATGACCTGAGCCGAAGGCAGACGCTTAACAGCTGAGCCACCCAGGCACCCCCTGATGCTCGTTTCTAAGAGACAACTGAACATCATTAAATCAGCAGCTACCTAGCCAGAGAGCT